GTGTGGGGTGATAATTTGCTCTATAGCCGTGTAATCCCGCCCGATTTCATCTAATACCAGCGCTCCGACGCAACGGCGTGCGCGCACATCTCCAGATGTGATAATGGGCGCGTTGTGGAAAGAAAAAAATCCAACCCGCTCGCGTTGTTGTAAAGCTTTGTGGGATCAAAAAATAAGGTGTGTGTGTGTGTGTGCATGCTCTCTATACGTGGGGATGTGCGGGGACTGGAGCCTGAAATTCCTCCGCAAAGAAAGAAAGAAGGACAGGAAGAAAAAAAGAATTACAGGATCTGGAGCTTTTTATCTGTGTTTTTTTCTTATGGTTTGTTGTTGTGTTTGGTGTGTGGTTTCAGGAACGAACAGAACGAATAAGAGAAGCAGGTTTGCAGGTACTAACCGAGTTAACAATTAATGGAAATTAATGGAAAGGTTTGACTTCCCTAAATAATTCCGCACTTGTGTGTAAATTCAGGAAACAGCCGAGCGCGAATTGTTCGGGTGTGTGTGCTCGTGTTACTGGCAGGATGGAGATCGGATCCTTTCATTTACACAAGCGGGAGCGTTTTAGGCCGCATCCGCGTGTGGAACGTGTCCGGTGGAACCTTGTAAGTGTGTGTGAGGCCGGTAACAGGTTTACATCGCACGTTCTTACGCACAGGATTCTGGATAATTAAGATTGTTTAAAAAAAAAAAAGCATCAAAGCAGGAGAGAGGAGGAGAGAAACGGATAAAAAGGAGCGTGGAAAAGGACGGAGGGGGTGTGTGTGGAGCTGATTTATCTCCGGAGCCCCCCCACATTCACACTCACGCACCCCACCCCACCCCCGGTCATTTCCATATATTGAAATGCGCCCCCAGTACCTCAATTTCCCCGGAGCTGTCGTGCGTGCAGAGGAAGGCGCGCATGTGACCACCGCCGATCTGACGCCCTGTACCCCCTCCCCCCGTCAAAGTGCTCCAGTGTCCGGTCACCCGGTGTGTGTGAGAGAGTGCGTACTGAGGTGTGCTCGGAGAATAAAAGTGCTGAGCGCGAAACTGTGAAGTTAAAAAAGGCGGCGTGTGGCCTACATACGCAGCAGCTAACATCCTGCTGTCTGCTCTTTATCTGCGCGCACGCACCTGACACCCCCCCC